TCAGTGTTCATTGTCTCAGAAGGAGAACATTGGTTTGCAGCCATGGTTCCTGTCAATAAACCAATAAAAACACATATATAAACATAGAATAAGAAGAAACTGAACAGCATTGCGTTGAATGTACTTTATTTTAAATGTGTACATCGACTCCACATGAACAAAATACATTCAGAGAGGGGGAGTGGGGGCCTGAGGGGCTGCAGCACCTCCAGATTTGAGATTGTTGAACTGATGAACTGAAATAGCAGTCTGAGTAAAGACCGGTATGGGCATGTTTTCAGGTAAGGTTTGTATTTTTATTTTATGTTTTATTTATGTTCCGCAGTGGCCGTGCATTTTCATTACAGATGAAGTTGAATCACTTTTCTCCACCAATGTTGGTCACTTTGGAGGCGTCACTAAAACACTAGTGAGTGAAAGTATATGTAGAGCCGTAGGTCAGTTCTGAGGCCCAAAGCAGCTTAATATTGTTTATTTTTTAGCAAGTAATAATGTCCCAGAATTTATCAAACTCTGGTCAAACTCCATGTTTTGTTGATTTTTTTAATGAGAAATAAGTCAAATAATGGAAAGTGAATAGAATAAAATAGAACACATGTCCACAGGTTTTAATGCATAATTACTGTTTAATGCATAATTAATGCATAACAAAAAAAAACAAAATGAGGCCTGTGCAAAAAGTATGACATTATTTTTTTATTTTTTCCAGTATGTTGAACTCAACACAAACAGACACAGTGCACTAAAATGAGCAGAAAATGGATGTGTTAACATTTTTTTAACAGTTTCCCTGAATAAATTGCATCAACACAGTTATCGCAAAAAAGTAAGTAAAGTGAATAACAGTAATTGTGTTGTGTGGAGCCAGTGTACAAAGGCAGATTAGTGATTCTGGGGCCCTTGGAAAACAACAACAATATGGCCCCATGGATGGACATATTTCACCCTCTGGGAATGTGCCTGCATGTCAAATTTGATATTTATACATCTGTCTCTCTGTCTTTGTGATAATGCACGTCATCTGCCTCTCACCGTGTGGAACTGGTGGATTAGTGTGTCCGTCTACATTTTGTGCGAAACTGACCAATGGACCAATGGAGATCACTGTTAGTAAAAATGACCTCCTATAACATTTCTTGCTACCGCAGAGCTGAATGAGTGTTGCTGAAGGTGCTCTGCTGTTTGACCAATAGGTTGTGGATCAGGTAAATCAGGTAAATCAGGTAAAATGGTAAAATGGTGAAACTGACCTTGAGTTGACCCAAAGAACAAGAAACTGAATGAAGCTGGACTGAAAGCGTAAGTGAGCAGGTCGTGTTGGGCTGCGGTGCGGCCAGCGGGCGCCGGGTTTCGAGTCGCCGTGGGATACGCTCCTACACTGCTGCAGCTCCAAAACAGGATATTACATCTGCAGTTTCCCCTCACAGGCCCACACACTCTCCAGCTAATGTGACTGTTCTGACTTTCAAATAGTGGAGCCTGTCAGATGGGATCAGTTGGGCTAATCCCCCCATGGACCCATCCTGCGCCCGCTAACAGGTATTTCTGCCTCCGTGTGATAAGTGTTTTCCTGGCGGGGCGTCTGATGCGGACGCTTCTCTGCGAACAGGGATAAACAGGGTTTTTATCGGTCTGTGGTATTTGTGGGCCACAGGTATTTCAAATAGCAATTTGTTTGATGGCGGGAAACTCGCAGCAGTCCATGGAACCGAATAAGATTTCTGGGGCGCAATTAATTTTTTTTCCCCGACGCTCAAAAGTGTGTCGCGGTAAAGGAGGAGGAAAGCGTGTTTATGTTAAAAGAGGGACGTCAACAAAAAGCAGCTAAAGAAACACACATAGAAACAGAGTAAAGGCAGAGAGTAAACACGGCGGGGCTGATTTCCTCAGAGGAAGCTGCTCCTGCTTTTTACTGGCTTTGTTTGTTCCTCTCTGAACTCTTTCTCCAGATTGCTAATGAGGAACGGCGCTCAACAGAATATGAATTCAAACGCTGACTGGCGGCGAATGTTAACAAAGTCAACTACACATTACACTGGATAAATGGGACTGATGCCATCTGCAGTCAACAGCAGGATGAGGGTGTCAAAAGAATGGGGCGAATCAATAATAACAAGAAGAAGAAGAACAAGAACAAGAAGACGAGGAAGAAAAAAGAAGAAGTAGTAGAAAAAGAAGAAGAAGAAGATTGTGGGAATAAGTCTTTATAAATGTTTATGTAGATATAAGTCAGCTGTTAATGTAAATTATTGATTATAAGCCTTTATAAATGTATATGTAGGTTTACGTCAGTTGGTACTGTAGGTTATTGATAATAAGCCTTTATACATTATTGTAGGTTTAAATCTGTTATTAATGTTGGTTGTTGGAATAAGCCTTAATAAATATTTGTGTGTTTGAGTCAGTTGTTAATGTAGATTATTGGAATAAGCATTTATTAATATTCATGTAGGTTGAGTAGGTTGTTAGAATAAGCATTTATAAATGTTTATGTAGGTTTAAGTCTAGTATCAATGTAGATTATTGGTTATAAGCCTTTATAAATGTTTATCGCTGTTGTTGGAACAAAACCTCGTATCTCCAAAATGGTAACTTTATAGGAGAAGGAAAAAAAATACTTTAATTTTAATGTAAGCCAATGGAACCAGACTTTTTACCAAGTCATTTTGGGTCGTTTCTTTTGGTCCATTCATCATGAAATTTACACACAACTTGAAGAATAACAGGCATTTTAAATTATGTCAAAAACTGAAAATTGACGAAAGTGGAGATACGAGTTTTCATCCAACAGCAGCGTTATATAGGTTTGAGCCAGATGTTAATGTAGGTTGTTAAGCCTTTATAAATGTTTGACCAGCTTTAAGTAAGTTATTAATGTTGGAATAAGCCTTTATACATGTTTACATAGGTTTAAGTTAGTTGTTAATGTAGATTGTTGGAATAAGCTTTTATAAATGTTTATGTAGGTTTAAGTCAGTTAGTACTGTAGGTTATTGGTTATAAGCCTTTATAAATGTCTATGTAGGTTTAAGTCACTTGTTAAAGTATGTTGTTAAGCTTTTGTAAATGTTTATATAGCTTTAAATCAGTAGTTAATATAGGTTGTTAAGCCTTTATAAATGTTTGTCCAGGTTTAATTCAGTTATTACTGAAGGTTGTTGGAATAAGACTTTATAAATGTTTGTCCAGGTTTTACTGCCAGGTAGCCTTACGAGTCCTGCCCTTCAGTAAAGTGTCACAGAAATCTCTGACATATTACAGTATTTCTGTCTGTGAAAGCAGAATAAATGTCATCTAATCCCTCAGTCAGGCGTCCTGTGGGGGTTCCCCATCTGGACGGGGTGCAGAGCGCCTCCAGATAGACAATCACAGCCAATCACAGATCATTTGCTCAATTTCCCCCCACAGACCATCATTTTCTATAACCTGTCATTATGGGCCATTGGTGGAAATCGCCAGCGAATTCAGACTAAAGCTGTTCCCTCCTGGGGCTGTTTGGAGGTGAAGCTCAGGAGAGTCAGACCAAACCAATCGCTCACCTCCATCCACACCGCCGCTACACGGAAACTCTGATGGGAGAACAGGCTGAGAAGAATAAAGATAAAAAAGCTAACAAGCTCCTCGGAGACTTTCGGATGCACAAGAATTCCGAAGCGAGCGCGGAGGTCAAGTGAAGATGCGCCTCCGTTTGAATTATGATAGAGAGGAGGATGCATCGATTGGTCCTCTGCCTGATCCTTCATGCGGGCGTGTGCACACCCCAGGGGGCGCTCTTATGCCGCCCAAGCTGCCTGACCTCTGCTATCTCCACGGTTACAGCGTCAAAAGCAGCGATTACCGCTGACCTCCAGCACCAGGAGCAAAGACAGAGAGGAACTGTCTGAAATTCACACTCAAAGATTCAAACGCGCTCATCTGCAGCGCTCTGCATATCTGAGCAGCAGAGGTGGGAGAGGAAACCATGCTTAGAGCCATATTTAAAAAAAAAATCTACTTATTTAATCTAGTTTCCCCCACTTAACCCGAGTGTACTGGACTGAGAGAGGTGGATAATTACAATGCAATGCATAATAAATTGTATACTGCAAAAAAAGGAAGCTTAACATGAGAAATCATCTTATATTTTATCTAAATATCTAATATTTCTCATTTTGAAGGTGGCTGTATGAATATTATGAGATTATTCAACTTATTTCTATTTCCTATTTACTCATTTAAAGTAATTTAATTGAGTAAAATGGTCTCACAATATTGGTTTAATTTTGCCTGTTTCAAGCACATTTCTTAAAATAATTTCGCTTATCTGCCACTATAGCGAGATAATTTTACTTAATTAAATTACTCAAAACACAAAGTCTAGAAATAAGTTAAATAATCTTATAACAAGCTTTCGGCAATCTCAACTTAAAGAATGTTAGAAAAACTCACTGGATTTAAGATCATTTCTCTTGCCAAGATATTTTTTGCAGTGTAAACAGAAATTTCTTGAAAATTAACAAAGACAAAACTGAAACTCCTCTGAGTGGATCTACTGCACACAAAGCAGAGACTGTAAGTGAACTAGGAAGTTTGGCGACATACTTTAAATCTGAATGGCAAGATGGGGGGGGGGTGTCATCCTCAACTCTGACCTCAGTTTTAAACCCCAGTTTGAAAATGTATCTAAAACAGCATCCGTTCATCTTTCAACTGCCAACATTTATATAAGCTTATTTCAACAGCCCACAGCAACAACGGACATTTTAGTCTGGTATGAATCGGCAGCGTGTGTAGTATAATGAAGTCTGCTGATAGACATAGCCGTGTTATTATTGTTATTGAGGTTGTACAGTGGCTAATTTGAGAAAATTACACAAACACATTTGTACAAACAAGTCAGCCAATCAAATCACAACAAATTATATTCCTTATATTTCCTGGTAAAACTATTATAGCGCTTTGTTGTTGAACCAGGCTTGGTAACTACCCACCATGCACCGTGGGGGGGTTGGGGGCTCTCCTCAAGCCTGGATGTTCATCCTTATGATGTCAGGCTGCTTGGGGCTGAGCATCGCAGTGAACAATACAGGTAGATTTACGCCAGCGCGACCGCGGCGCTGGCTGAAGGCCATCCCACCCTGAGAGCAGAGAAATGCGCACAAGATGGATGGAACAGGATAACCAGTAAATACTGCTAAAACAAGGGCGTGCAGCCACAGAGGATGAGATATTTCAGTGTTTATGATGTTAAATACCGCTCCCAGTGTCGTTCATAAAGTCTACACAGAAGTGCACAGATTTATGAATGTAGATTTTTGACAACGTATATTTATGAATGACTCAGCACTGCCTGCCAATCAATCAATCAACCAACCTTCATTCAAACTCGGGGTACACAGAGGGAGACCCTCGTTTACAATGTAGCTGAGCTAACACGGAAAACAGGGATGGAAAAATTGGATAGTAAAAACAAATCAAATGCTAAAAAAGTAATAATAGTTCAAATAGTAAATTTAATAGTAATAAAGTAAACCATTTAAATTGCAACAATACAGTAACTGAATAAATAACAGATCAAATGAGGGTAAAATGAATGAAAATAATGAATCAAAGATGTAAAGCAATATTTTGGCAATGATAAAATAAACAAAAAGAATAATAAAAGTGAAACTACAGCTAAAACATACTAAAATCATTTTAAAAGTTAACTAGTATCAAGCAGAACAGCGTCAGGCTGATTGGAGGTGTTCAGAGACTAAAAGTTTCAAATGTTCAAAGCTTTAGAGTTTCCTGTAATGAAGTCCAGCTCACTGGTGCTGCAGCTAAACGCAGATTCTCCCAGTTCAGTAACAGCTCTCAGCACCTGATCCAGTCACTGGAACGAGTCTGATAAACTGCATTATTTACACTGAGCATTTCTGGATGGCGTACGGTCAGTAAGAGCTTTATAGATAAAAAGAAGCCAACACACAGCCAGAGATGACCAGGCAACCTCTTCATACAGTACACAGTGACCGTCTGTAGGGTCAGCAGGAATGAATCTTAAAGCAGAGTGGAGTACGGAGTCTAGAGATTCAGTCATTGCAGATGCAGATCTGTATATCAGTAATCCATGATAGACAATACCGGCACTTCAACACTGAGTGTGTTTACATGCGCTTAATAATCCAATAACTGCAGAAAATCTGATTTTGTCAGTAATCCGATCAACTCGTTTACATGCTGCAGCTAACATCGCGCCACTTTGCCTGAAAATATGAACATACATCATCTGGAAGATGAAGAATATTTAAATCCTTCATTTCCTCAAGTATGTAGTCGGTGTTTTGTTGCGTTGTGCGGGTGCTGTGTTAAACGCTGCTCGCTTATTTCCGGTACCGCCATCTGTTTTTGCACATGCACAGACTGAGAAATCCAAAAGAAATCAGAGTAAGAGTTTACATGCACTGAGAAATCTGATTACTGAGCTAAAATCCAGCTTCTTTATCAGATTTCTTTGCCTAATTATCCTCTTTAGAAAATATAAATTAAAAAACATTGAAAATATAAAACATATTAAAAAAACATTGAAAAATAGGTAAGAATAAAAAAATAGCTATGAGAACTTGACAAAAACCACCAAGACTTGTTCAGTAATTGCTATAAAATATTCAGCATATTCTATAAATTATTTGCAGTAATTATTCAATAACAAATATAACTACTAGGACAACTGTGTTTCCACTATGAATCATTCAGTATCTACTATAAATTATTCAGCATCCACTATGAATTACTCAGTGTCTATTATATATTACCTCAGTACTAACTTATTTGTATCTACTATGAATCATTCAGTATCTACTATCAATTCTAGTATCTCCAATGAATCATTCAGTATCTACTATGAATTACTCAGTGTCTATTATAAATTATCCAAAACAGACTAACTTATTTTGTTTCTATTGAAAATGATTCAGTTTGTTCTTTGAATCCGAGTTCTGTGGAGTCTAAGAGGTTAAATAGTGCAGATAAACTGCAGGACAAACAATGTAAAGTGCCTGTAGATGAAGCTGGTGTTATCTGTGTGTTTGATGGTGGTGAGAGGCGGTTTTTATTTCAGTGTTTTGAAAACATGCTCTTATTCTCCTTCCAGCACTCAGTCGATCGACCTGTGAACCAGGAGCCGAGCCCTCAGGGGTCTTCAGCCTCCGAACACACTGCAAACACACTCTACACACACTCACGCCTTTTCTTTCTGTCCTCATCAGCTGCACATATCAGATTTTAAAGCCTCTCTCTCCCTCTCTCTCCCTCTCTCGCGCTGTCCGGTACTCTGGGCGCTGACTAAGGCTGGATGAACATCTGACTGATTGGCTTCGGATAAGGTTCTGGCAGCCGAACACACTTTTAGTGCGGTCTACGATAACAAGTTCCCCTGAGTTTCTGCCACTTGTCATTCAGGTGATCAAACAGGGGAAGAGATAATGTCATATCTGCACCCGGCCCATAAATCAAAAAACCTCCCCCTCCTCCTTCAGCCCACACTCCACCGCCGAAAACACTCTCCACTCACTGAGGATCAGGTGCTGAGACCTGTCACTAAAACGGCAAAATCCATTTCAATAAATCAGCAGCGATTATTTAATAATCTGTGCTGCTGCTACAGTCTTCACTGTTTCTGAAGAGGATTTTCTCCAAAGTCACGTCACAGAAACATCACAAAACCAGCAACAGTGCTGCTCAAAATGGATTACGGCCAAACTGTGCACTGTTCTTTCAACTCGCATCTCACTGAAAACAGTGAAGAAACTGTGTGGAAATTGCAAATTTATAAACTTTTAATCTAAACCACATTAGCATCGGTTGGTGTAAGAGGAGAGATTTTATTATGATTGGAATTTGATGAAGTTATTGTTGCGATTTCTGTTGCCGCCCTCTAAAGGCGTCATTACCAAACATCAACTAAACAAACGTCGCTCAGCGCCGCCCTCTAAAGGCGTCGTTAACACACATCAAATAAACAAACGTCGCTCAGCGCCGCCCTCTAAAGGCGTCGTTAACACACATCAAATAAACAAACGTCGCTCAGCGCCGCCCTCTAAAGGCGTCGTTAACACACATCAAATAAACAAACGTCGCTCAGCGCCGCCCTCTAAAGGCATCATTAACAAACATCAACTAAACGAACGTCGCTCAGCGCCGCCCTCTAAAGGCATCATTAACAAATATCAACTAAACAAACGTCGCTCAGCGCCGCCCTCTAAAGGCGTCGTTAACACACATCAAATAAACAAACGTCGCTCAGCGCCGCCCTCTAAAGGCGTCGTTAACACACATGAACTAAACAAACGTCGCTCAGCGCCGCCCTCTAAAGGCATCATTAACAAACATCAACTAAACGAACGTCGCTCAGCGCCGCCCTCTAAAGGCGTCATTAACAAACATCAAATAATCAAACGTCGCTCAGCGCCGCCCTCTAAAGGCGTCGTTACCAAACATCAACTAAACAAACGTCGCTCAGCGCCGCCCTCTAAAGGCGTCGTTAACACACATCAAATAAACATCGCTCAGCGCCGCCCTCTAAAGGCGTCGTTACCAAACATCAACTAAACAAACGTCGCTCAGCGCCGCCCTCTAAAGGCGTCGTTAACACACATCAAATAAACAAACGTCGCTCAGCGCCGCCCTCTAAAGGCGTCGTTAACACACATCAAATAAACAAACGTCGCTCAGCGCCGCCCTCTAAAGGCGCCGTTAACACACATCAAATAAACAAACGTCGCTCAGCGTCACCCTCTAAAGGCGCCGTTAACACACATCAAAGAAACAAACGTCGCTCAGCGCCGCCCTCTAAAGGCGTCATTAACAAACATCAACTAAACGAACGTCGCTCAGCGCCGCCCTCTAAAGGCGTCATTAACAAACATCAACTAAACAAACGTCGCTCAGCGCCGCCCTCTAAAGGCGTCGTTAACACACATCAAATAAACAAACGTCGCTCAGCGCCGCCCTCTAAAGGCGTCATTAACACACATCAAATAAACAAACGTCGCTCAGCGCCGCCCTCTAAAGGCGCCATTAACAAACATCAACTAAACGAACGTCGCTCAGCGCCGCCCTCTAAAGGCGTCATTAACACACATGAACTAAACAAACGTCGCTCAGCGCCGCCCTCTAAAGGCGTCGTTAACACACATCAAATAAACATCGCTCAGCGCCGCCCTCTAAAGGCGTCGTTACCAAACATCAACTAAACAAACGTCGCTCAGCGCCGCCCTCTAAAGGCGTCATTAACAAACATCAAATAATCAAACGTCGCTCAGCGCCGCCCTCTAAAGGCGCCGTTAACACACATCAAATAAACAAACGTCGCTCAGCGCCGCCCTCTAAAGGCGTCATTAACAAACATCAACTAAACAAACGCCGCTCAGCGCCGCCCTCTAAAGGCGTCATTAACAAACATCAACTAAACGAACGTCGCTCAGCGCCGCCCTCTAAAGGGGTCATTAACAAACATCAAATAATCAAACGTCGCTCAGCGCCGCCCTCTAAAGGCGTCATTACCAAACATCAACTAAACAAACGTCGCTCAGCGCCGCCCTCTAAAGGCGTCATTAACAAATATCAAATAATCAAACGTCGCTCAGCGCCGCCCTCTAAAGGCGTCGTTAACACACATCAAATAAACAAACGTCGCTCAGCGCCGCCCTCTAAAGGCGTCATTAACAAATATCAAATAATCAAACGTCGCTCAGCGCCGCCCTCTAAAGGCGTCGTTAACACACATCAAATAAACAAACGTCGCTCAGCGCCACCCTCTAAAGGCGTCATTACCAAACATCAACTAAACAAACGTCGCTCAGCGCCGCCCTCTAAAGGCGTCATTAACAAATATCAAATAATCAAACGTCGCTCAGCGCCGCCCTCTAAAGGCGCCGTTAACACACATCAAATGAACAAACGTCGCTCAGCGCCGCCCTCTAAAGGCGTCTTTAACAAACATCAAATAAACAAACGCCGCTCAGCGCCGCCCTCTAAAGGCGTCGTTAACACACATCAAATAAACAAACGTCGCTCAGCGCCGCCCTCTAAAGGCGTCATTAACACACATCAAATAAACAAACGTCGCTCAGCGCCGCCCTCTAAAGGCGTCGTT